CACACACACACACACACACACACACACACACTGAGGGAGATTGAGGACAGATGGAACAGTGTTGTGGCTAGCAAAGTGTGTTAAGTGAGTGTATCTCGGTAGAGTTATCAGAGCATTCTTGTGTTTCAGCAGAGAGCTCGGGAAACATTCTCAGGCCTCCTGTTTGCCAGAAGAAAAGCACCTGTGCATGACTTACACAGGTTTTAGGAGGAACTTTGATTAGTAGCATAAGAAGAGTGACAGCTTTCAACCTTTCCCTCTCTAAATGAGACAGTGCTCACTTCAATACATCAATAAGTGGTCTTATGTTCTGCTGATGGGGCTTGTTTAAATGAAAATAATACGGTGTCATCACTCTCATTGTCAGATGTATAACTAGTCACAACCTATTCAAATGATGTGTGGAAAAGGTACGCACACCCACAGAAAGACCCAGTATGAACTGGGCCTGATGAAAGGGATACAAAGAGGTCTGCCAACAATTAGACTGGATCCATACGTATACACTGTATAACAATATGATTTGGTTCTGGTCCTGAACTGGAATTTGGACCTAATTTAGATTTGCGACAAAGAAGAGGTCAAAAAATAACTACACATAGAGGGGAAAAAAGCCAGAGGGAACCTAATTTAAGACGGACTGAAACACAGCTGGTGTACTGACTCACAGTACTTGTTAACTTGCTGATAGCCTAAAATTCCCCAAAGGCTTTCCTCTCCAGAAAGCCCAAAGGTCAAAAGGCCAAGCCATCAGCAGTAATGGTTGCTTAACACTTGACATCACGAAAAGAAGGAAAAAAAAACAGGGGGTTGGAGCTCTTCAGTGTAAGTGTGCACATCTGTTTAATTGTGCATGAACGTGTGCGTACTTATATTTATGTGTTTGGGCGCACAAGGCCACAACTAATTAAGAAGACTGCCCCCCCCCCCCCCCCCTGCTTAAGGGACCATCAAGAGGTCACTGTAGTCAAGGATACAGCAAGACCCGTCAGCTGTCAATGACAAGCATGAAAGCAGAGACAGCGAATGAGGGCTATACAGCCTGTAACCTGCTGAGCCGCTGGGGTCTCAGATGCTCCGCAGGTTGACTACAACAGCAATAAAGCACTTAGAAAAGGACAGTCAGCCTTTTGTCTGAGACAAAGACAAAGGCACAAGTCCTCCAGCAATGAAAGGACTTCTTGTGAAAGCCTTGCACTGCCCTGTGAACCATGACATGGAGGTTAAGCTCGATTCCAGCTGCATTATCACACCAATGTTTCTGTCAGAATACAGAGAGGAGATTGCAAGACCAATATGGCTAACTGACAAAAAGACACACATTTTCTCACATGTAATTTCATCTTAAATACTTTTACCAGTCACAATGATCTACAGTGCAAAAAGCTAGACTGATGGACTGGGAATTCAGATTCCCCTGTTGTACCCTGGATCATAGCAGCTCATCTGCATTCTACCAACAAGTGCATATGTTAGGAGACATGACAGGGTAGCAAAAAAAAGCTGGGAGAGCTCAACAGATCAAGCTGTGTTATGCTGTTTGCCCATTTTGGGGGGTTTAAAGTGCTCTGGTTGATCAAGCAGAGAAAGCATGAGAGTGAGAAAAGAATAAGAAAGGCAAAGAGAGAGAGACAGCGGAGAGGTTTTGCAGCTACTGACAGGTAACAGGAGAGCTAGAGAAATACATTTATTCTTCTTGATTAATAGCTAAGTGTGAGCCTCTGTATCTGCTCACACTTACATCTGTGCTGTAGTAGGTATCCTCTGACTTTGGGTGTGAATGTCCAAATGTTTGCATTTGTCTAATCTTTAACTTTAAAGAACAAAGTGTGCTTCTGTCTTGGAGAAAAAGAAGCTCAGTGCAAATTCTTTCTACATGACTTAGCAGGGTTTGGATCTAAGCCTTCAGATCCAACCCCCCACCACAGAAACGTATCCAAACTTCTCTTTCATTCAAAAATCGATGTGTGAAAAACATGCGCAAAGCACGAAAAACTACAAAAAAAACCTTCATCCACTCCCCACTCCCTCCTGCAGTGAACATGCACATTCATCCCATGCACTTTAAAGAGTGCTAGCATGGATAAATTCCAAACAGTGAGAAAAGGAAATCAGCAGCCTTCATATATTTGCACTACATGCATGTGTGCGCGCCGGCTTTTTCACCAAAACCCACATAACTGCAACAACAAAGCCACTGAGCTATGAGGGTGCCCTGTGAACGGCACCTTTTTATTACCTCTACCCACCACTTGCAGACAATACATTTATCAGCAATTACGTAAAGCAGCACAACCGGATGCTGCACAGAGCCTGCAGCAAACACTTCACTGATCATACAGTCAATACTGCAGTTGTCTCTATTCATGAGAAAATTCTACACTGACTCCAAAGTGTGGTGATGAATCACATATTGGGGGAAATTTCCATCTTTAACACATTTTATGAAACTGACAGGAAAAGTAGGATTTTCTCAGAAAAACATGGTTGACTGCTTACCTGAAACAGAAATAGTCATGGGTGCTTCCAGAGCCCTGTCATTGTCCAAATCCCTGCTCAACCTCAGATCCCCAGTTTCTTCATTCAACAGCAGCAGACTGAGCTCATTTCCAGACTCAAACTTGTAGCGCAGTTTATCCGACACATCCGGGTCATGAGCCGGAACCTTTCCTATTATTCCAGATGGAAAACTGTTGGACTTGTTGGTGACATAGTTATTAAAGAGAATCTCAAAGTTGTGCAGCACTGGTTCGTTGTCATTCATGTCTACTAGGCGGATGTGCACAGTAGCACGGCTCACTAGCGGTGCTGATGTGGCCTGAACGACTATGACATACTCAGTTTTGGTCTCATAATCCAAGTCTGTGAGTGCAGTGAGGTCTCCATTGAAAATATCCAGCTGGAACACTTCTGGAATATTTCCTTCTACGATCTGATACATGATCTGAGCATTAGTGCCGTCATCGGGGTCTGTGGCAGTGATCTGGGCCACGACTGATCCCACTGGGCTGTTCTCTTGCACGTCAATAAAAAGCTCATCCTTCTCAAACACTGGAGCATTGTCATTTATGTCTTGGACTACAATATGAATAGAAACAGCAGCTTTCAGAGGCGGAACACCTTTATCCACCGCAAAAGCCTTCAGGTTATAAACGTGAACGTTTTCCCGGTCCAGCTTGCGAGCGGTTCTGACGATGCCAGAGTGAGGCTCTACGTGAAAATCCCCGTCACCGTCATCCCCACCTTGAAATGTATAGGTCACCCTGCCGTTTGATCCACTATCTCTGTCTGAAGCAGAGATCTGGAGCACACTAGTGTAGACAGGTGCATCCTCAAGAACACTCCCCTGGTAGATGTCTCTGAGAAAATGAGGAGCATTATCATTGGCATCACTGATGATGATCTCTACATAAGTGATGTCAGATTTCTGGGGGATGCCATTGTCTTTGGCAGTGATGGCTAAAGTGTAGGAGGCCTGATCCTCATAGTCAAGCTCCATTTTGGTTACGATGGCACCTGTATCTGGGTCAATTTCGAACTGAGGAACATTGTCTTCCATTACATACGTGATACGAGCATTTTCCCCCGTGTCTTCATCTGTCGCACTGATCACTATCACAGTGCTGCCCACTGGTTTGTCTTCACTGATAGACACGTGGTAGCTGGCGCTTTGGAAGACAGGCCGGTGTGTGTTGGCATCGGTGACATTGATGAACACCTGGGTGGTATCGTAAAGTGTTCCATCACTGGCGGTGACTGTCAGGACATACTGGCGTTCCAGCTTGTAGTCCAGGGGAAGGGCTAAGGTGATGAGGCCACCGCCACTCTGGCTAGTGATGGCAAAGCGGTTCCTGGTGTTGCCGCTGGAGATCTGATACGTCACCATGCTGTTAACATCCCTGTCCACAGCGGTCACTGTCAGCACACTGCTGCCGACCACAGCATCTTCGTTGATCTTCAGTGAGTAGGTCTTCTCTGAGAATGTGGGTGTGTTGTCGTTCACATCCAGCACTGTGACGCTGACACTGGCAGAGGAGGACCTCACAGGTGTCCCGTGATCTCTCGCCTCCACGCCAAAGGTGTAAAATTCAATTTCCTCCCTGTCGAGCGGCTCACTAACTGTAATCCAGCCTGTGCTGTTGTTGATGGTGAACGGAAAACCTGGCGTGGTGTCGGTAATGCGGTATTCCAGGAGAGAATTTTTCCCTGAATCGGCATCAATGGCTTGAATGTGGATGACAGAGTAACCAACGGCCACATTTTCCAGCACTGTAGCCTGGAAAGGTGTGCTGACAAACATGGGTGTGTTGTCATTGACGTCCACCACTTGCACCACCACCATCCCTGTGCTGTTTATCAGCGGAGGCCTGCCTCCATCCTGAGCCTTAATCCTTAAATTATACTCCCGAATCATTTCATAGTCAAGAGGATTGATGACATCAATGACACCAGTGGGGGAGTGAATGTAGAACTGCCCTTTAACGTTGCCACTTATGATGCTGTAGTGAACTTTGGCATTGTTTCCCTCATCTCTGTCCGTCGCCTCCACCTGGATCACTTTGGTGTTGACTGGCACGTTCTCTGGGACCTGCACCACGTACCTCTTTTCAGTGAACTGTGGGTAGTTGTCATTTTCGTCTTCCACAGTGATGTAAACTGTGGCGGTGGCACTGCGGGGACTTGGCTCCTTCCCCTGATCGTTGGCTTCGACGATCAGTTGGTACTGGGCCCGGGTCTCCCTGTCAGGCCGCTCTCTGATCCTCACCAGGCCGCTCCGGGGGTCAATTTCAAACACAGAGTTGACTTCGTCTGCGTTCACAATTTTATAGATCATGTCGGCGTTGGAGGGAGCATCACCGTCAGTGGCCCGGACTGTCTTAACTTCAAAGCCCACTTCTACGTTTTCTCGGATGCTGACTCGATATTCATTTTGCTCAAACACAGGGGTGTGGTCGTTGGTGTCACTTACAGTGACAGTGAGGTAAGAAGTGGCAGATCTTTTGGGGGTGCCATTGTCCGTCACAGTAACTTTGAACACATGAGTGTCTTTGACTTCTCTGTCCAGAGCCTGGATAGTTGTTATGCTTCCAGTCTGTGAGTCTATGTAGAAAAAGTCATCAGACCTTTTATCAAACAAGGCTTCCATGCTGTACTCCAGCCTCCCCGCTTCTCCATCATCTGGGTCATTTGCTTTTAGGGTGATAACTCGCGTCCCAGCGGGCTCATTCTCACGCACAGACACCTGATAGTTGGGAAGTTGAAACTGGGGAGATGAATTAACCTGCCGCTTTCCCCTTCTGATCAGCACAACAGACTGTCTGTGGATGGTTTCTGACGGGCTTTGGTGTTGTTTGCGCGCTTTAACGAGCGTCAAATGAAGCTGCACAGAGAGCCCGCTGCCCGGAGAGCTGTGCAGCGCGCAGTGAAGCTTCTCCTCCGACTGTCCACTGTTTTTAAGACACAAGTCACTAGCCAGGAATAAATCTCCGTGCCTGAACACCCCGACAACGTTTCTTCCTGCACACTCAGTATCCAAAAAGGCAGTGTTTTGCGTGAAGGAGGGTAAAAGTTTTGTTACATTCAAAATTAGAATACCTGCAGGTAAGCAGGAAGTTGCCTCCAGTTTTGAAAGGTGTTTTATTTGAATGTCTGGCTCACCTGACGCTTTCTTTCTCTTGTATTTAATAAAACAGTCCTGGCCGTGAACGAACACATTAAAATGCGTCAGGATAACGTCTCCGGACGCGGAGGAGACAGTTCTGAAATAAACAGGCGCAGGATTCCTGGGTGTGCGCGCACACTGAACTTTGTGGGACAGGCGGATAACACCGTCGAGCCTCCCAACTTGGAAACAACTCTGAATGAAGTTGGGAGATAAAGTCCTGTCAAGTTTATAAGTCCACCCAGGGCCGAGCGACAGGTTGGCCAAAAGGCTCCCGGGCTGTGAAGTCTCCGAAAGGTGCATCTCCAAACATCCCGCGAGCGGCGGCACGGTGAACAGAACACAAACCCAAACCCAGCAACACATCGGCGGCTCCATGCTTGTAAACCTGCCGAATCCCGTTCAACTTCACCGAAACTCCTCCGCAAAAAAAGTAAAGAAAAGCATTAAGTCTCCCTCTCCCAGCACCTCGTCTTACTTTTCTCCCGCATGGTGAAGTTTTTCTCAACGTGGAAAAAGACGCTGGGTATCCATAGTATCAGTGTGTCCAGGCGCGTCACGGCTGCGTAAACACACACTGAGTTTAAAATGAGTACAAAATGGCTCCGCGGCTCTCCTCCACCTCCTCCTCCTCCTCTCTCCTCCTCAGAGACTTATTACCATAAACCTGCTGTGTTCCCCCTCTGGGACGCTTTCGGGTGGGGTGGTGGCGAGGAGGCTTTCTTTTTTTTTTCTCATGGAGATTTAGGAAGTGCCGCTGTCCGGGTGACCAATACGCACAGGCGCATTGTTATTACAATAGGACGAGAGGTGGGTAAAATTCCTGCTGCGCGTTTAAGTGTCGCTCCCTCTTCAACTTCTGTGTGCTGAAGCGTTCTGAGCTGTGATGGTACAATTAAAACAGACCTGAGGCTCAGTGAAGGAAGACTGAAAATGTCATCATCACAGCTTTAACCAGCTCCTACTCATCTATGAAGGGGTAGAAAGTTGAACAGTTATTTATATGTCACATCAATGTAGTAAATATTAGACACAGGGAACTGTGGACTGCACCACAAAACTACAGGAATGTCGCAGAGGATCTCACTTCCTTCACCCGCGCAGTTTACTTGTGTGCGTCATGGTCAGAGATGAGTGTTTTTTCTTCATTTGTAATACATCAACAACAATATAATAATAATAGTAATAGTAATAATAATAATAAGTCAAATCAGCGTTTCAGGCATCTAATTTTGTATGATTTTAGAACTTTACGTTCATTCAAACACATTTCCTCACGTTTCATTTTGCCTCAACAAAACGATTTTTTTTTTTTAATTTAAAGTTTAAGCTGACAAAAAAATGACTTTTCTATTCTGGAAAAAACTCCCACAACAACGATTATATGCTGCACTTTAACGTGTATCACGAGACAATGCCGTTACTCTCGGGATTCGTTATGTTTGTGCTAAACAACGTTAACTCCAGAATAACAGTTGACGTTAGTCTTGTACAACAGCGCCCCTACGAGGACAAGGAGCTTTACAACAGTTGGCCCTCAGCTGCCGTATCCACTGATGAACTTCCTTACGCACACCTTACTGGTGCCGGGTTGGACCCGTTTTTACCTGCGCAACTCCCTTAATTTTCCGTTGCACAGATTCAGCAAAGTCCTGGAAACATTCCTGAGATATTTGAGTCTGTATCAACTTGACAGCATTACAACTTCGATCCCTGGCTGCTCCAGTCTGCATGCCAATCAGTTGCTTTCCAATGAAGTGTGAATGTTAGACAGCATGTCGCAAAGAGTGCTTGTGTGTAAAATTCTCCAGTAGAGTAGAAGTGCTCTAAAAACCAGCACATGTACTCTATGGCACCAACAACCGTGTCATTTTAAGAGTCACTTAAATCACCTTTTTGTTCAAATGCTCAGTTTGAACATCGGCAGGTCATCTCGACCATGTCTACATGTCTGATTGGCTGATTAGACATTTGTGTTACAAGCAAAAGAAAAAGAAAAAAAAAAGGTGTGCCTAACAAAATGACCATTATGTACATAAACTCAATTTTGCCCAAGAAAAAAATCACGACTCTGGACAGAACATGATATGGCACATTTAAACACAGGCGTGTGCAGGGAAAGCAAATATCACTCTTCGCATTTATTTATTTGTTTAAGTCCATTTTTCAAATGTACACTTTGTACAGAGTTCGTTCTCCTGCGCCCGAAGAAAGCACTGCTGTTTTTTAAAAAACATTAACCTGGCATTTTAAATACAATACAGCATTAGAAATCATCTTTCTTGTAATTTGAAAAACTGAAATAAATGGCACAACCGATGGATAAAAACATCCAATACTCTCACATTTCCTTTCTCTCCTATCAAGCATTTTTTTGAAATGAAACACCACGTGAAACATACAAAAATAATTTTTTAGTAGTCTTCAAAGTTTTTAGCTGGTCTGAAAAAAACAAACCAACCTGAGAAGCCTTAAAACTTTTAAGACAAACTACATAAACTCCAATAAAGTAGAACAAGCCAAGAGTCAACCAGATCTGCCCACAAGGTAGTGTCCTCTGAGGAAACGTGAGCATTCTGACAGTCCAGCAGAACTTCACAAATCTTCACCCAGGTCTCCCAGTAAAGAGAAAGCAGAGCTCAAGGCCTCAGACCACAAAAAAAAAAGCACCGTCTAAAGTTCAGAAAATGCTCTGCTTAACAATGTGAGCTCATTTTTTGTTTCTGCTTTTATGAAAACACACAGTGCACTGTAGAGATGCACAAACCTACTCGTTTACACAATATCAATTAAATAATCGCATTTCACGAGTGCATCTTTGTCCTCGTAGTGAAGCCAACAACAAGCAGTACCTGGAAGTTATCTCTGTGGTGTTGGTACAGATCTTGGACGGAAAGATTAGGTTATATTAGGTTAAAAACATTAGAGATCTACTTATGTAAAAAAAAAACAAACCATAAACAAAACGCTGCTGTTTCCTGGAGCCTTTAAAAAGCCAATCAACCCTCTGCTGCCTCCCTGAGCATCTGCCCTGTGTCACTAAAGCCGGTCCAACCATCTCTTGGACTGGCTTATGTTCCTCACAGGGTGCTCGCAGCTCATGTGCTGCACACAGTGCATTTCCCCCACAGCCGGACTGTGAGCTCCTCTCAGCTGTCTGGTTCAGGGGTCGACTGCTCTTTGCGCTGAAAGGCTGCTACCATCCGCTCGCGGCCCTTCTGCAGCGTGAATTCGCTTGGCCCAAGCTGGGTGATCTTCCCACTGCCCAAACACTCGTCCCCTTTGTAGAGCACGGCAAACTGTGGAAGGAAAACAAGAACACTCCGATAACACAAAGAAGCCACACATGTAGTGTGATGTTAAAGAACAGTCCTGAACACGTTAGCCGCTACCTGTCCAGGTGTCAGAGCTCTGACTGGCTGGGAGAGCAAAATCCACACAGAGCCGTCCATGTTCAGAGTTACTGTGCAGGCAACTGGAACGCACAGTTGAAGCTGTGTTTAATGTTTGAGCCGATTTTCAGTCGGCATTAATAATCTTCTCGCAGGCACTGATAACACAGAACTCACCGAGCGGCATCTGGTGGATGAAGCGGAAGTGACAATCCATCATTTGGGTCCTGGCTAGTTCGGGGGGCGGGTCTTCTGTTACCCAGTGGAAACGCTCCGTTCGCACGGTGTCGCGGAAAAGAGCTGGGTGATTGGTTGTCGGAGCCTGAGCCACAAGAGGTGTAACAAATCAAGTACCCGATTAAAAATGGTCACGAATTGCAACACGTTGCTCAAGAAACACCAAAGATGAATACGCTGCCTCCTACAGGGAGTTACAGGTATTACCATCCTCCTTTTCATTTTACAAACCTGGTTTTGGAATCTACAAGTCGACACATTCATGAACATTAAAACTGGAAAAAAAATTAAATAAATCGCTCCTAATTGTAAGGGAACATCAGGAGAATGTTAAGATGGATGCGTTGACATTTGATAACTTAAACACAGATGTTCTCACCACAAACACATCTCCAGTAACGATGTCTTTGTCCACCACAAACCAGGCGTCTCTCTGCCCGCCTATCCTTGCCCTTTGGCCCAGTGTCAGTGTGAACCAACCTGTATGGACAGAAACACATAAGAATATGAGAAAAGAAGGGACAAACAGGTGTCTGATAGTTTTATACATGCGGATATGGATCAAAACAACCTCTGTAACCTTTAACATGTGACTGCATGGGAAATAATTTGACTTTGAAGTCAGCCTCATGTGGCCATTTGAGGAACTGCATGTTTCAGCTTTGTTTTTAGCTCCAGAGAATGCTGCCTGACTATAATACATTTTAGTCAGGTGTACAGTAGTGGCACACTTTTATTTTTTTTTAAAAAGATGTTCACAAACACACCTTTGTGGGTTCCCATTATAGTTCCATCCTCAATGGAGACAAAGTTCCCAGGTTTGGGGTCCAGATACTGAAAATAGAAACAAAGCAGCTGAAGATCAAAATGATCTGAGGTCATCTTAAAAGAGATGGAAGGTTTTGTCCTAAATCCTATGAAAATGAGATACTTTTGCCATGTGAAATAAATACTTACCTCCAAGATGAAGTTTTCAAAGTTTCTCTCTCCAATAAAGCAGATACCCATGCTCTGAAACGACACACCAGTCAATTTAAATCCTGTGTTCCTCTCCTCTCTCCTTATTAAAGTCTGTAATATATATGAGCACCTCTTTCTTCTTCAGCACGTGGTGAAACCCGGCCTCAGCAGCCATCTTTTTCACAAATTCTTTGGTGAGTCCAGCGAGCGGGAACATGGTTTGTCGTAAGGCTTGTTGTGGGATCTGACTGAGAAAGAAAGTCTGGTCCTTGAGGAGATCGGCCCCTTTGTACAGCTTCACAGCTGGTGACGGGAACGCAAGAAAAAAAGAAACTTCAGTCGCAGAAACGAAAATAGTGGAAATTAGTGTAAAAATCAGAGATATAAGAGGTATAAAGGGAAAGTCACACTTACGATTTCGGATCTCAAATCGATCTCTGAACAGCGTGGTGGGCGGAGCTGTGTGAGCCTGTTCGAAAACTTCGTCATCTTCCTGTGATGTCCTGGCATAGTGGCCTGTTGCCATGGCATCAGCACCTACAGGAAACAATGTGTCTCTTGGAGTGTGTCTGAGACTCAAGTGATCATATTTTATATTTCAACCAATAAGCATGAGAATGAAAATAAAACAGCGTACCCAGGGTGTCGATGGCATATTTGTGGAAGTGGTTAAATTTGATGTGCTTGTTGCATAGTATGTCTGGGTTTGGTGTTCTTCCCCTCTCATATTCCTTCAACAGATTACTGCAAAAAAGACAGAGAGAAACTGCATTCAGTGCTCAACACTGGATAAAAAAACAGGTATAAAATTTGAGAGATTCCACATTCTGATCCTAGTTTTTGTTCTAAATCTCATTGAAGTCAATATCAATTTTAAATGTAAATCAGAACATTTTTCCTTATCAGGAATCCTGGAAGCTCGCCTCATATTGCACTTTTTAAGCTCTTCCAGCATGCACACAGTTGTTGCACATCTGCAAGCCACTTTGCAACCAGCCTCCCACTGAGCTCCTACTTTTTAATGCTGCATATGAACATTGTAGATAGCATGTTGGTTTGATAGTTAGTGCTGTTGCCTCACAGCAGGAAGGTAATGGGTTCAAATCCACTGACCAGCTGGGGAGGAAGCCAGGGAATCTGGAGTGAACCCACATAGGATCTATGTTGCGTCTGCATGTTCTCCTCGTGCCTGCATGGGTTCTCTTTGGGTACTCCGACTTCCTCCCACATTTCACAGGCACACTTTAGGTTAACTGGTGATTCTTAATTGGTCGTAGGTGTGAATGGTTGTCTGTCTGCCTGGATGACCTGCCCAGGGTGTAACCTTCCTCTTGCCTTATGACAATTGGGACAGGTGGAACAAAACAGGGAATAGATGTAGCCCTCTCTTCTGTGCTTACTGCCACCTACAGCTTTCCATGTATGTACACAGGGAGCCCACACAACAGAAGCATCCAAATATGACTTACTGCACACAGAAATACCTTTGTGTATCGTGGTCCAAATGACCTGCAACTGTCTTTTTAGCAGCTCTTTAAACTAGTATGTTTAGAAACGATATGCTGAAAATCCCTTTGGAGCATTTTCACAAAAACGGCATTTCTCAAATTTCATTGGAGATGGCGGCATCTGTAATGGACAAAGTATGTTGAACACAGCGCCGACAGGACGATATACAGAGGAGGTGGAAAGGGGATGGAGGCAGATGATAAGCTGCTGTGAGCACTAAAGGCAGCAGACAGAAGAAGACAGAAATACCTGAAAACTTCATGCCAGTACTCTTTGACATAGGAGACTTGATGAAAGGGGACATCCAGGCTCTGGCACACTCTGTATGCGTCCTCACAGTCCTTCTCTGTGGTGCAGACCCCCTTCTCATCCAGAGAATCCCAGTTCTTCATAAAAACTCCAGTCACGTTGTAGCCTTCAAACAACACGCAATCACAATGAGACTCACTTACAGCTTTACTTTGGTTTTTCTGACTTTATTTGATTGATTTCTTTGATTGGTATACGGCGGCTTCGCCCGTCTGGCTAACCTTTCCCCATCACAAAGCCAGTACAGGTGTGCTTCAGTGTTTCCACTGCCAGCTTTTCTCACCTCGTCTCTTCAGCAGTAACGCTGCGACGGAGCTGTCAACGCCGCCGGACATGGCGCACACCACGTGCTTTATCAAAGCCATGTTTTCATATTACTGCAGTCTGTCTTTGAACACTTTCTCGCTCACGAAGCTAGAATATTTCACCCAGCTGCTCCACAGAAGCCGCCATGTTTGCGGTCCACTCAGCAATAACGTTCGACTTGAAACGCGTTTTATGCCGGAACCATCGAGCTGCAGAGGAGGGAGACGAAAAAGTTGTAACACTAAACTTCAAGGAGCTGAGTGAAAACAAATAATAAGGTCTGTGTAAAAAATACCGAATAGAATAAATATACATTTTTGGTTTCGTTTAAAGGCGAAACATAGTTGTTTTATATATAATTTAACTTTCACGTTTTTTCCTAATAAATCAGAGGCTCCGAACTGCTTACAAATTAAATCAACTCAATTCTTTACATTTTCCGATTATTAAAATGGTGAACTCATGGTTGAGAGCTACATATTTTAAATTAATCCTACAGTAACTGCAAAAATATATTAATAAATTAATGAGTGTCTTTTATACGTTTATGTAAAACTAAACTACTGGGTGTGATGATGTTTCTCTGTTTCTGACCCACCCAGATGTGTGAGGTGTCTGCAGACCCTGTCACCCTGGACATGCTAAAAGAAGCGAGAGAGACGGTGAGGAGCAGCCCTCTGGGTGTCATCAACACCCCCATGATCGCCTGGAGGCAGACCACCCTGCCTCTCAGCATTGACTGCAACATCCACATCAAACTGGAAAACATGCAGAGAACTGGTTGGTGAAACCCACTTTGTTTGGCTTCCCTGACACTTTGCTGCAGGTTTATTGACCTCCTGTTTTTGAATGACAGGGTCTTTTAAGATCAGAGGAGTAGCCAATCAGTTTGCCAGGAGACCGGCAGGTGGCCGTTTTGTCACCATGTCTGCTGGAAACTACGGCAAGTCGTTTGCATATGCCTCAAAACACTTTGGGTCAAAGGGCAAAGTGGTGATGCCTGAAACCGCCCCAGAGAACAAGTCCATCTTTATACAGGTCAGAGGTTGTTTGTGGCACAGTTAAGCAAAAGACAAAAGCCTTGAAAGTTAAATACAGACATATAAATTACTTCCTAATAAGTGTGAATTTATTACTTTGTCATTTTCATGGAGTGGTTATTCTTGTCCTCAGAGTTTAGGGGTTGAGGTGGAGCGAGCTCCTACATCCTGTCTGATAAACGTGGTGAACCGTTGTGTTCAGGAGGACAACATGACCTTCCTGCACTCCTTCGATGACCTGGATCTAATTGCAGGGCATGCCAGGTACAATCAGGGCTGGATGCTAGTGCATAAGAGTGCTTCTATCTTCGTGTTTTATTGGTAACAATTACATTTTTAATATCTCTGTCTTTTATTAATTACGTGTGCACATGCATTTAGTCTAGGTATGGAGGTGCTGGAAGTGATGCCGGAGCCTGATGTGGTGGTGGTGTGCTGCGGTGGAGGTGGGCTGCTGGCTGGAGTAGCTGCTGCCATCAAACTGTCAGGTTGCAGTAAAACCAAGATCTATGGCGTGGAGCCAGAAGGAGGTAAAAAGTCACAGACAAACTGATGTTTAGCTTGTTTTTGTGTGCAGAAACTTTAAGTGTGTTTCTGCTTAACGCAGCTTGCACAATGTACAAAAGCTTAATTGAGAAGAAGCCAGTAGAAATGGACAGCAAGAGCATCGCGTCAGGTCTTGCACCACCTTTTGCAGGTAGTTTTTGTCAAATTTCTCTCCAGCATATCTGGCTTGTATGTGAACTGTTCTTTTAAAATTCCTTGACTTTCTGTTTGCGATACATGAGAAAATAGAAGAGTTTTCTTGCGCCATCACCAGGCAGGCTGCCCTATCAGCTGTGCCAACGTTACGTGGAGGGGATCGTCCTCGTTAGCGATGAGGAGATCGAGGCTGCCGTGTCCACGCTCTACAGATCCGGGCTGGTAGTGGAGCCATCAGGCTCTGCTGCTTTTGCTGCCATCGTTAACAACAAGATCCCAGAGCTGGAGGGCAAGGATGTTGTGTGCATCCTCACCGGAGGGAATATCGGAAAAGCCGAGCTTGTGAATTTTCAGGACTGACAAACTACAAATCTGTGACTTCTTACAAATCCGTGCCAGTAACTGTCTCAGATAACAATTTAGAATAAACATTGTTAATGCCCATGTTTTTACTGCTGTCGTAATTCTGCGTCTTTCTGGTATGTTTTTTATATTCTTAAAAGTCTGACAGTGTGAGAGAGTGTGCCGATCAGCAATCAGAGTAAGTGCTTGACTCTGATTGCTGATTGGGAATGACAGCAACTCAGCCATGAAGTGGTATACCACATAACATCACAGAGCGAGGACAGCATATGTTGATGCGCATGGTGTGCAAAGACCACCACCTTCCTGCAGACCTCCAAACTTCATGGAATAGGTTTCCATGGCTGAGCAGCTGCATCCCAGCCATGGGCGATCGTGGCTCAACATTGTGGGAACTGTTTGCAGATGCCCCCTTTCTGTTCCACCAGGACCAGTGCACAAAGCAAGGCCCATAAACACATGAGAGAGTTTGGTGTGGAAGAACCTCAACCTGATAGAACACCTTTGGGATGAATTAGAGCAGAGACTGCGAGCCAGGTCCTCTCGTCCAACATCACTGTCTGACCTTACAACTGTGCTTCT